AGGCGTTCTCCCGTCTGATCCTGATCCTGCGCGCCCTGCACGTGAACAACGACAAGACCAAGATCCTGCTCAAGCCGGACAAGACGACGGTGACCGAGGCCCACCACATCTGGCCCACGCTCTCGGACGAGGAGTGGATGAAGATTGAGGTGCAGCTCAAGGACCTCATCCTGGCCGACTACGGCAAGAAGAACAAGTCAGTTATGTCTATAGCTTGTTGTCAGTTGTCTTCTTTTTGCCTCTTTACATAGAGTGATACACAAGGTATAGGGCCGACTATGTCAAGGAGAACCAGTCAGTCACATCTTTTGTTTGTCTCTGTACATAGAGAGATACAAAGTACTATGTATAGGGCCGACTATGTCAAGGAGAACAAGTCAGTCACATCTTTTGTTTGTCTCTGTACATAGAGAGATACACAAGGTATAGGGCCGACTATGTCAAGGAGAACAAGTCAGTTACATCTTTTGTTTGTCTCTTTACATAGAGAGATACACAAGGTATAGGGCCGACTATGTCAAGGAGAACAAGTCAGTCACATCTTTTGTTTGTCTCTGTACATAGAGTGATACAAAATACAAGGTATAGGGCCGACCACGGCTAGAAGAACAAGTCAGTCATGTCGTCAACGAGAGCTTTTGTCTTCTTTGTTGACTCTTTACATTGAGTGTGCTTTGTGTAGGAGGGAGAGAACGAGAGATAGAGAGAGGAGGGCCGACTATGGCTAGAAGAACAAGTCAGTCACACACACACACACACACTGAAAGGAAATAAGATGAGCTGTAGTGCAAAATGCCCCTTGATGTCTTGACTCAAATAACCGCGGGATCTGGAAATCACCAGAAATTGGGTGCGCTGAGCTGGTCTGCTCCTTCCCTATCAAACATGTCTTGTCTTTATCTCTCCTCCTTTTTTGTGTTGGTTACTCTCTTGTACCACCAAATCTTCAGCACTTGTATGACCTAATTGTGTTGCAAGTGCCGTAAAACACAGACTAATCCTACAAGCACCAGCGCTGCTCATTCCTGTGTTTCCTCTCCCCCCCAGCGTGAACGTGAAGTCCCTGACCCAGTCGGAGACAAGGGACATCATCCTAGGCATGGAGATCTCAGCCCCAAGCGCCCAGCGGCAGCAGATCGCGGAGATCGAGAAGCAGACCAAGGAGCAGTCTCAGATGACGGCCACCACCACGCGCACGGTCAACAAGCACGGCGACGAGATCATCACAACCACCACCTCCAACCACGAGACCGCCACCTTCTCCTCCAAGACGGAGTGGCGTGTGCGAGCCATCTCGGCCACCAACCTTCACCTCCGCACCAACCACATCTACGTCAGCTCAGACGACATCAAGGAGACAGGCTACACCTACATCCTGCCCAAGAACGTCCTCAAGAAGTTCATCATCATCTCCGACCTGCGCGCTCAGGTGGGTGGCTGGCGGGGGCTTCTTCTTTACTGTCAGACATCTGTATGGGTGGCTGGCAGGGGCTCTGCTGGGGGGGGCTTCTTCTTTACTGTCAGACATCTGTGTGGGTGGCTGGCGGGGGCTCTGCTGGGGCTGGCTCCTTCTTTACCCTCAAACATCCATTAACATTTACACATATAATAATGCCGTTCATTCTATACACGACTCTTTTAACTCCTTATCTCCGGTAAACTGCTCCAAGCGGCTCGCAGTCAAAACTGCCATACAAGTGAGCTGCTGGCAGCAGCTCGTGAACATTCCTTTATGACAACTTTGAAATCAAATTACATTTTAGCAATTACCGAAAACAGGTCCCTTTTACTGGGAGTTCATTTATTAGGCTAGATTGTTTTCATTTAATGACCAACCATGTGACGGATTTGTCATTTTTAGATTTTGTACCAAAACAGGGCCCTGGCATAGGGGGTTTACCCGCCCTTTCAGATAAAGATAAAATACGTCACCAGTATGTTACTACATCCTTCTCAAATAAAATTTAGTATTTATCTACAAGGGCCATTTTCCTTCTGTGCTCTTGAATTACTTCCTTTTTATGCATTGTCCGCCCACTGCAGGATTCAACCCTCAAAACGACTACCTCCACTTTCCTCAACTGTGATTGTACCCATCCACTCTTTGAAATTCCCTCGCAACCATCATTCTGTTCCTCTTGATCATTTTCCTCTTTTTGGTCTCCATTCAGTGCATCTTTTCGTTCATCCGTTACCCTTCTTTTCATTAATGTGACCAGCCCATTTCTATTTTTGTCTCTGCATTTGCAGTTACAATTGGTCGCTTTTAAGCACAAGGGGGCTGTCCCGAAAAATGCTGTATTGAGAAAATAGAAGGAAAAGTTTTTGCCCCCTTGTTCAGTTTCTTTAAAAGACAAGGAGAGTTTTTACTATAATCAAACAAATATACACACCAATGAAACTAAACTTCTCCTACAGGTAGGGCAATGCCCACTTTTGGTGTAGGTCAAGATGGTCAAGATTTCTGGAAACCCCCGAAGTCTGGGTTAGCCCGCTTGTCCTTGAAAGCGACAAATTTCAGTGGAGTCAGCCTAACACTTTGCCCCCACAGAACACCGATCAGCCATGGTGTGATATAGTAACAAAAACATTAAATGTTTGTAGGAAGGATCTCCTTTAAGACATGTGCACTAGTTAGTTATAATTTCCTTTCTGTTCTGAATGATTTGTGTGCCCTTTGAGAGCGAAAATCAGATTGTTTACAACAATTGGAGTAAAAAAAAAAATTTTTATGTCCAGTAGACATGACATGGGTGCTGCTTTACACCGACGACATGATGAGAATTTGGGTGAGAATGTGCTAGACCTTAAGTTTTTAATTCCTTTTTTGGTGAACATGCAATTACCACATTCAATTTTCTCAGTGCGCCTAAAATGTCATCATGACTGGGGTATTTTTGCAGAGATACAATAAAGTAGTGATGTAGCCCATCTGCCTCCTGATGCCCAGGGACAAAGGTCGTGCACTGTGCGCACTGGGTGGGTGAAAAGTGTTAAACCACACACTTTTAATCTCAAGACAGCAGCAAACTTAAAGAAAAGAAATTTCCCAATTTTTTACCAAAAACTCTTACTTTACTTTTACTTTTTCATCCTCTGTTGCTGTTAAACGTCAAGGGGAGATGCAGTTTTCTATGGTAGGCCAGCTCCGCAGCTCTTTCAGTTGTGATATTATTTATTATGTTTTCTCAGGGTTTCCTCGACACCCTCGATCCACCTTTTGCACTGGTTGCACAATGTTGGTATGAATATTGGGGTGATAAGCTGTCTCTAAACTGTAAAACCTGCATTTCCGCAGATTTTGGTTTAAGCAGATGCCACTGTATTAACCAATCTTACTTCTCTCCCAGGGACAGGACCTTGGCAGGGGAGACCATGTTTGCCTTGTTGCCCGTGCCCAGCTGTCCATAGGAGTTGGCTCCCCATGAGAACAGGGTCCCCTCATCGGACAAGGCCAGGGTGTGGGCATAGCCACATGTGATCTGAGGATGGTGATATAGGGGAGGGAGAGGGGGAGGGAGGGGGGGAGAGGAGAGGAGAAAAGTGGAGGGAAAAGGGGAAAAGAACAGACAGGGAAGTGGGGAAGGAAAGGGGGGGGGCAGGGATAGGGGAGGAGAGAAGGGTTAGGAAGATTTACAAGGGGGGCAGGGGAATGGAGCAGGAGAGGAGAGAAAGGGAAGGTAGCAGGAGATTTTTCACCCTTATCTGATAAGGCTAGGCATTCGATCTTACCTATCATAAGATCAAAGGTATGACAGAAAGACAACAGTAAGAAAGAGCCAAGGAGTGGTAGCAGAAAGGCTGCTGTAATCAGCAGAATGTTGAGACGAAAGCAGACAACAAAACATTGTTAGAGAGCAGAAAAGAAGGGGAAAGAAGAACATTTTAGAGAAGAAAATTTTCCGTCGCTATCCAGATTTGAACCCGGGACCTATTGAATCAGAGGCGGACACAGTAACCTCTCCACCATGAGCGTCCCTTGACATGAGTTCAATTCTCCAGGAAGAAAGTTACTTATCCAGTATCTTCATATGTCCACAATGATAGCGCATCCCACTCAACCAGACTCAACCCTACAGGACAAAAAGCATCCTGCCTCCCCAAATGACCTGCATTGCATCAAAAGAGAAGTAAAATAGTAATTGTGAGGCAGCATGGTGAAATCTGACGCTCCTCGAAACAATTAAATCAAAGAAATAGGCACTTTTCTGGACGCTGGGTAATTTTTTTTTTAACATTTCTTTTTTCGACTCAACACATTTTACATCCTTTTAAAAACACATTTCTGTGTGGATGTTACCGAAAAACGTTCATTGAAGGCACAACAAATGTATATTTCGAGTTTCCAACGACACTACAGCTTTGGAAGTTGCCAAACTTTGGCAGCCATTTTCTCGCTAATTTTACCTCACATACCAAGCGACCCCAACCTCCTTCAATCGCAAACATTTTGACTTCATTCAAGATAGGTGGGTATTTTCTTTCGCCAAATGCAAGAAAAATGGACAAGTTTTATGATAATACTAATAACTCTATATGCCCAAAAATTGGCGAGCGTCTGATTCCACCGCGTTGCGACACAATTTTTTCCTTTTTTACAATTAAATTTTTTTTACAGATGACATTTCTACGTCTCCCACATCTCTCTTATGATCTGCACACTATTTCTCATTACCACTATGCTGAAATTTACAGGTCCACATTCTTCTACTCTCAAATCATTTCTATTACACCACGATGACTCACTCAAATATGTAATTACTTACCTACACAATGACTCACTCACCTTTGTAATGACTTACCTACATATTGACTCACTCACCTTTGTAATGACTTACCTACATATTGACTCACTGATCTTTGTAATGACTTACCTACACAATGACTCACTCACCTTCGCAATGACTTACCTACATATTGACTCACTGACCTTTGTAATGACTTACCTGCATGATGACTCATCAATCTTTGTAATGACTTACCTGCACAATGACTCAATCACCTTTGTAATGACTTACCTACATAATGACCCACTCACCTTTGTAATGACTTACCTGCACGATGACTCACTCACCTTTGTAATGACTTTCCTGCACGATGACTCCCTCACCTTTGTAATGACTTACCTACACTATGACTCACTCACCTTTGTAATGACTTACCTACACTATGACTCACTCACCTTTGTAATGAATTACCTACATTGCGATGACTCATCTGAGCTACAGACTTCAAAATAAGTTAAGGACCACCTTGACAGATAGCCCTGATTTTAAAAAATCGGAGAAAAAAAAAGACAGCAAGAAAAGTTTCAAAATTTGTTGCTCTGAAAGTGTTACTGGGTTAACAATGAGTACTGTAAAGCTTCTTAAAGGGGCGAAACCACAGCGTGCAGCACGGAATTCCTCAGGGAACTTTAACCAAATTTGCAAGTGGTCCTTAACTTAGTTTGAATTCAGTATGACTCTACTACATGATCACTTGTCTGAGCTAGGACTCACATATAATTATGATGACTTACTTGAGAGATGACTTGCCTGCATGATGACTCACTTACATTACGAATGACTCACCTGCACTATAATTCACAGACATGTCGACTCACCTGTGCTGTAATTCACCGACTTGACTTATCACCTGTGCTATGACTTACCGACATGATGACTCATCTGTGCTATAATTCACCGGCATGACGTCTCACCTGTGCCATAAATCACCGGCATGACAATTATAATTCACCGACATGACGTCTCACCTGTGCTATAATTCACCGACAAGAGAGACTATAATTCACCGGCATCAAGACTCACCAGTGCTATGACTTACTGACAGGACGATTTACCTGTGCTATGACTTTATAATTATAATAAATAATAAATAGCATTTGTATAGCGCATGTCCCCACTCGAAAGCAAGCTCTATGCGCTTTACACTATATAATTACCCCAGCAGACCATAGAACTTACCGAAATGACGTCTCACCTGTGCTATTATTCACCGACTCACCTGTGTGATGACAGCGGCCTGCAGCATGTGAACCCTACAAGGGTTGGGCTGGTTCACATTGTTCCCGACACCCAGCTGACCGTTGCCGTTGTAGCCCCAACCGTATACCTGAGTTGAGTTTGGGATTTTTGGGGGGGGGCAGAGGTGAGAGGGTGGTGGAGGGGAGAGATGGGAAAATTATAGAATGCATGGTCATATATATTGTACTTGCCAAATTATTTTGTAACCCATAATTTCTCATGGAGATCAGTAAAAATGGTATTTATGTAGTTATTCATTGACGGGTTTATTTTTCTGCAAGCGACATTTATCTATTTATTTTCAGGGGGGCTCTCGTGGCCTAGAGGTTAAGGTTCTCGCCTCTCATTCAAAGGTCCCAGGTTCCAATCCAGGTAGTGACGGGAAAATTTTCTTCTCTAAAACAGTCTCCTTTCTCCTCCTTTCCTGCTCTCTAGCAATGTTCTGTCATCTGCTTTCGTCTCCACTTTCTGCCCTGACCCCCTCACCTCCTTTGCCCCCTCCTCTGGGCTCCTGGCTCTTTCAGCAGCCTTGCTACTGCTACACCTTGGCTCCTTTCAGCCGTCTTTCAGCCACACTCCTGATCTTCTGGTTGGAAAGATCTATATATTTATTCATTTATTTCTTTATTAATTAATTTCTTTATTTACGTATTTATTTATTTATTTATTTAGTTTAGTTTTAGTAAAAGTTTTGCGGCACTTGCAACACAACAAGGTCAAATAAGTGCTGAAGAGAGTTACAAACACAAAAGAGAAGAAGGGGAGATTGGACGATAGATGTTTGATAGGAAAGAAGAAGCAAACCACACCAGAGCATCCGCTAACCAACCACATTTATCTATTTATTTATTGATTCATTTATTTATTCATTTATTCATTTATTTATTTATTCATTCATTCATTCATTCATTCATTTATTTATTTATTTATTTATTTATTCATTTATTTATTTATTTATTTACCTCGCCGTTGTCCAAGAGGGCTACAGAGGATGTCTGACCACAGGCGATGGAAACAGCGCACAGAGCACCTGCAGGGAAAGTATGTAGTTTGAGGTAAGGGGGGAGGGGGGGGCGGGGGGTGCTTAACACTTTGCAGTCACTTGACTCAATAATGCGCTGGTGAAAATTATCCGTTCTGGAAACCTGGCCCGAGAAGTCTGTTGCAGTCACTCTCCTGGTTGGGTGACCAGATGGGGTATTTTGTACTGCTGGCTGTGTGACTGCAAAGTGTTAGGAAAGAGTTTTACAGCACTTGCAACACAATAAGGTCATGTAAGTGCCGAAAATTAGGTGTTACAAGCGAATAATAAACACAAAAAAGAAGGAGGGGAGATCAGGACGATAGAAGTTTGATAGGAAAGAAGGAGCAAACCACACCAGAGCACCCACCAATCACCCACAGTTAGGTAATATAAGTGTCGAAAACTTTACCCAGCCCATTAAATAAACTAAACCTGAAACTTATCTCTACAACTTATAAGTTATTCTCAGTGCTGTTCTGAGTGTGTCTGTCCTATAGGATATAGCCATAGGCCTACTGTTAGCAAACCTGAGGGGGGGTGAGAATAGCGAGACACAGAAATTTTTTGCATTATCATTATTATGGTATTTTTAAAGCACAACCTACCAGTGGCGCCCTTCAACCACCCACTTTACAAGTAAAATATCAGCTCAAAGACAGAACTTCTTCTGTATTTGATCTTGGTGAACTACCAACAAAACACCCACTATCCGGTAGCAGAAGCAGTTTACCAATAACGGAGGTGACCTTGCGTGGCGAGGGCTGGTTGGCTGTAGACCCCGTGCCCACTTGTCCACAGTTGTTCTGACCCCAGGCATAGACCTGCAGGAGGACACAAAAACTCCACAATGTTCACAACTTCAGCACAAGCACTCTTCATTTGTTTGAGTAAGTTTAGTTTTTAGTTTTAGTAAGTGCAACTGCATAAGGTCATATGAGCGCCAGAAGAATAGAGGTGTTACAAGAGAGAAACAAACATAAAAAAGAAGGAGGAGAGACAAAGACGAGAGTTGTTTGATAGGAAAGAAGGAGCAAACCACACCAGAGCACTCGCAAACTACCCACCTAGTGCTCTTCATTTGTTGGAGTAAAGACAAACACATCGATTCAATAACTGTCATTTAGCAAAGCATTTTGTTTGTTTGAGATGATGACTAGAGCGCAATTCACAGGTCTCTGGGGCCACAAATTCAAATAAATATCAACATTATTATACAGGCTACCAAAATTTTCAGTATGATTTGTAGAATACATCTGTATTGCTTATTTGTATAGTTTTCAACTTTGGTTCCTATTAGAGGCGACTGCGCAACACAATTTTGCATGGATGTGGATGAAATTTGAAAATTCAAAATTAATCATCTTTGGTGAAAGTCAAAAAATATGTTTGCACCTAGATCTAGTCATACGATACATAACAAAATAACCATAAATGAAAATAAAACTGGAAAATATTGAAAATTTTGCATTTCTTTACATACATTCCACATAATTTGTACATTTGAATCAAAACATTCGATATTGAAAAAATAAAATTTTTGAACAAAATCCCGAAAATTCACAATTATCTTATATGGAATCATTCAAAATTGCATTTTGAATAAACTACATGTTTCTTGAGTAGTATTTTTTGTGTAATTTTACTAAAAATTAGAGATTTGGGGGAGAAAAAAAATATTTTGACAATTTAGATCTAGCACTGAAAAATATCGATTACTCAATAACAGAGCAATGGCAATTTGAGTCCATTTTACAAATATAGTATCAATATTCTAAAGAAGAGTCATACATTTCTTAAGTAAGCAAAATAATGATACACTTTGTTTTGTAAAAGTGCTAAGACTGGTATCTGGGTTATAATTTGGGTATAACCATAAAACAAAGTCGTATAAACTTCGAAATCGGGTTTTAAAACTTGAATACAAAAGGTAGAATTTTCGATAAAAACGTTTGACCCGGAAGTCAATGTTATACTATATCCTTTATTCTAAACATGGATATGTGGATCCAAGCTAGAATCATAGGTCACTTCTCGAGCCGTCGGTGGCTGGGACTGTGGTTAGCGAGCGCACAAAAATGGCTGGAGCTGGAAGGGTTAATGCACCCCAAACGAATTTACAACAAACAAACAAAAAAACAAGAGGTAGAGAGGAAGAGATTCTCACCTCACCGTCCACCGTAAGCACCATGGAGTGATGGCTCCCACACGCCACTTTCACCACCTGTCTGTTGGCCAAGTTGGTAGTCACAGCAGCAGGCACAAAGCCCTGGTTCGAACCTCCATTGCCCAGCTGACAGTAGCCATTCAAACCCCAGCTGAACACTTCGCCAGCTGTAAATGAATGAAAATGATCATGCCCAATCCAAGTCTTGAATACAAGGGTTGAATTATCTCAAGTCAGGTGCATCAGAAAAATATGCAATACCAAAGCTTAATGTGCAAATAGAGTTATATCTAGTTACACGTAAATACATATAAAATCTTATCAAGTCACATGAATACAGACGGAAATACAAATGTGAGACAGCGTGGTGAAATCAGGCGCTCCCAAAATAATGAAAGTAAAAAAACTGGCACTTTTCCGCTGGTTTGGCAATTTTTATTGAAATTTTGTTTTTCGACTTAACACCTTCTATGTCTATTGAGGAACCCATTTCAGTGTGAATTATATTGAAAAATGTTGATTAAAGGCACAGACAATGAAAATTGTCACTTTCCACGGACTCTGAGGCTTTGTAAATAACCAAACTTTGGCAGCCATTTTGTGACTAATTTTATCTCTGAAACCAAGTGACACCCATCTCATTCAATAGCGCAAATACCTCGACATGTACTCAAGATAAACAGGTAATTCTTTTATCTACAGCAAGGCAAATGAACATGCTTTAAGGCAATACCAAAAACTCCACACGCCCAAAAATTGACGAGCCCCTAATTCCACCGCGTCGTGACACAAATGAACTTTCCCGAAATCATTGTTGAGGATAAAAGCGGTCATCTTCCACAGGTGGGCAGCTTGCCGAGTGTCATAATTATAATATAGGGGAGGGGTGGAGGGAGTGTAGAAGGAGTTGGGGGAGGAGGAGCAGAGGGGAGAGGATGGGGGGAGATGGGGAAGGGAGGGGAGGAGGAGCAGAGGGGAGGAGGAGCAGAGGAGAGAGGATGGGGGGAGATGGGGAAGGGTGGGGGGGAGGAATTTACATGGTACAGTTTCTGTCATTGTTTACCGTGTATACCGTGGACCAAGTCTACTCAAGTGTCATATGTGTAAAAAATGTTGATTAAAATGGTGTGACAATTGCGGCTCTGACAAAATGTGTAAAAAAAAAGCATTTTATCACCGTCTTAATGCTACTACTACCTGAGACTTTTTTTTTCAGGTAGGCCTACAGAGTTATTGATACGGTGAAAAGATATTACTTGTTTCGTATCCTCAATACAACAGGGTTTTGTTTAATGTACTAAAAATTCAATTATTGACACATTTTCCGTTTTGTTAAACGTCATAAGGCTGACTTGATAAGTACCTATGATAGAACTTTTCTCAAAGCAACAAACAATAACTTACACAATGGTGCAAACACCATGACGATTTATTGATCCATTGAGTTGTGTATCCTATTTTGACAAAAATATAACACTTTGAGTATCAATTAAAAAATTTGTTCCAAGTCCTACAAGTATTTTTTTTTTTTTCTGTTTTACAGCAGTTTTACAGCATTTGCAACACAATTAGGCCATATAAATACTAAAGATTAGAGATGTTACAAGAGAGTAACAAACACATGAAAGCAGGGTGAGAAATTTAAAGGATAATATATATATTTGATAGGAAAGAAGGAGCAAATCACACCAGACCACCCGCCAACCACCTACCTACAAGTAACGTAATATATATATAGATAATATATATATATAATAGTGTAGCTGTTTTGGTTACAATAGCTTGGAAGTTTGGGGAGTCAAAAGCAGACAGTTGTGAGAAAAATCAAGGTTGTGCCCGACGTATCTTGAAACAGCTGAGAACAACACATGACCCATGTGTGTGGTGTTGCTACACATTTTTTTACCTCTGGTCACAGCAACAACATGAGGTCCGCTTCCGAACGCGATGTCCACAACTTTCTTCCGACAGAGAATGTCAATCTTTCGAGGCTCAAAGCTACTGTGCGTGTCTCCTGTGGGGTGGGCAGAGGGGGGGAGGGAGAACATGTTTAGGGTCATTGTAATAGATGATGATAAATGTGAGGGGGAGGGGACACAGAGAGAGAGAGAGAGAGAGAGATAGAGAGAGAGATAGAGAGAGAGAGAGAGAGAGAGAGAGAGAGAGAGAGAGAGATAGATAGAGAGAGAAAGAGAGAGAGAAAGAAAGAGAGGGGAAAAGAAAGAGACAGAGAGTGAGAGAGAGAGAGAGAGAGAAAAAGAAAGAGAGAGAGAGAGAGAGAGAGAGAGAGAGAGAGAGAGAAAAAGAAAGAGAGAGAGAGAGAGAGAGAAAGAGTGTGTGTGTGAGAGAAAGAGAGAGAGAGAGAATGAGAGAGTGAGGCTGAGAGACACAGAAAAAGTGGGGGGTTTATAAAATATAATATGGAAATCAGATTAATTATTGCATTTGCCATTTCATGTTTTAGTCCTTTAATAATTAGGGACTGGGAGGATGTCCAAAATGATACATTAAAGGAGAGATCTATGTCATGAGAACTATATAGTTTAACAGATGAGACTATTTGACTATTTCTTCTGAAGGTTTACTTTAGGGCGCAGAGAAATATAGAGAGAGAGAGGTCAGAAACCACAGCAAAACGCATGTTAACAAGACCTGAAATACCAATGACATTAATATGAAGACAACAAAAATTGAGATTTCAAAAGGTTGTGAGTAGTTAGCCTTGAACATGTTGTTGTCCATTATTAAAACTGAAGGCAGAGGCAGCAGAGCAACCAACTTAGAAAACTGGAAAAAGATGGGTGAAGGGAAAGACAAGGACAATATATATGTGAGGTGTGCTGACAAAATGAGTTACTTCTCGGATTTCAGCCTTATGGAAATTGACACATCAACTTGATAGCTGAAGTTTGTACAGTTTATGAGCATGGAATAGTAAAAGACACAGTAAACTTGAACAAAATGGCATCAATTGAAAATTTATAAATCTGACCCCAGTGTCGATTTTCAGCCGATATCTCCATTCTTGGATCGTTAGAAGTAACTCATTTTGTCAGCACATCTCACATATATAGCTTTATGAGAGCATCCTAGCAAAGAACCGGGTGGCGAACCATGACTGCTGATGTCTGTTTCAGACCTGGCAATTGAGGAGGATTAGGAAGAGGATGAGGATGAGGAGGAGAAGGAGGAGGAAGAGGAGAAGGAGGAGGGGGTGGAGAAAAAGTAGACGACAAGAAGAGTAGATATCAAGGAAAAGAGCTTACCTAAACCAAGGCAGCTACTGCAGTTAGAGCCAAAAGCAAAGACATCGTCATTTTCGGTGATGAAGACAGCTTCGTTGCCCGCACTCCCAAACACGCAGATTTTTTTAATGGTGGAGATCAAGTCCAAATCAAGGACGCTGAACAGTGGCCATCGGCTCAAGTCAGTCAAATGCCGACTGGGAAAAAGATCCGGAATCCTAGGACTGAAGCTCAAAGTTGGAGCTTTGGTGCCGACTTCTGGCTCCGCAGATTGAGCCCAACAGTCTCCACTCTCTGCCATCGAGTCAGAACTTTCAGAGAAACTCCAGCAAGAATAATAATCTTCAAAATCTAACAACTCTTCTACAAATTCTACCGGATAGCTAAAACTCATAAATGACGGATTTAGTTGTCTGGTCTACATCTCAGACCGCGACAAAAGAAAGCAACCAATGGAGGAGGAAAAGGGAAACCTTGCAGAGCCTTTGACCACTCAACGCCCCCAATGGAAGTAGCTCAGTGTCCTGGTTGGTAACAGTAATGGAAAAGAGCTGAATAAGTCACTTAGTCAAATCCCCAAGACAACGTTGTTCAAGTGTTGCTTCTAGCAACAGGGCCCGACAAAAATTTGACACATTCCACAGTCTGTCCTCTGAAAACTTTTGTGTAAGTATTCACACTCCCAGTCATTAAAAACCTGGAAACAAAAAGAAAAAGTTAATATACATGTACATACGTCATAAGTTTGCAATAAATATATAATTACTAACAATATCCACATTAACACTTTGAGGTCACTTGGCGCAATAGCGCGACGGTGAAAATTCTCCGTTCCGGTCACCTGGAGCAGTTCTGCCCCAGGCACTGCGCCAGGCCCGAGAAGTCTGTTGCAGTCACTCACCTGGCTGGGTGAACAGATGGGGTATTTTGTACTGCTGGCCGCGTCGAGTTAAAGAGAAAAGGAAATCCCAATCTCACGCTCCGTTGCTTTATTTGCTCACATTATAAGGCAGAAACAGCACATAAATAACACATAAAAGAGAAAACTCTAAAATCATCTACTGGCTAGAAACAAACATTACATGACCCCAAATTTTATCTTTGAAAGTCTTCCAAATCGACAAGACAAATCCTCAACAAGGTTGCTGCCTCATACATCTATTTTTCTAACCTGATAAACCCACACAGCGACATAATACCAAACCTTACATTAACCCTAACAGTGTAACATGCTGCAATCACCTTTAATCCTATCTGTGAGAGATCTATAGACACAGCAGAGACCTGAATATAAGTGTTCGTGGATCAGGAGAAGGTATTTGACCGAGTTGACAGCAAACTTTTTTAGTTTTAGTAAGAGTTTCACGGCACTGGCAACACAATAAGGTCATAAAAGTGCTGAAGATTAGAGGTGTTACAAGAGAGTAACAAACATAAAAAAGAAGGAGGGGAGATAAGGACGATAGTTGTTTGATAGGAAAGAAGGAGCACAGCAAACTTTGAAAGAATATATACAGAGTGGAAGACCTACTCCTTTGTAATATCAACGCACTGATATTCGAAAATATTCCAAGTTGGGTAACAACTAAAGAGGGACATGTGGACTGGTTCAAAGTGACATCAGGCATCAGACAAAGCAGGTGTCCTATCACCATTACTTTTCATAGTATACAAGGACAAGATAACACAAAAGCAAATAACATCTCAGAACAACTCAACAAACTGCTCTTCGCTGATGACAAGAGCCTCATTCACCAAGACCAGGACAGCCTACAAGAACATATATATACGTGTGTGTGCCTAAAGAAATGTACCAAAAGTCGGATTTTAACCATTTCGAATTAAGGGTTAGAACTAGTACCTAATAGGACATTCAATGCTGAACACAGAGGTTTTTGAATTTTTGAGATATGTGTCACGACGCGGTGGAATCAGACGCTCGTCAATTTTGGGGCATATGGAGTTATTGGAATCATCTTAAGGCATGACACGGGTCTGCAAAACACGATGTTTAGGTCAAAATTTGATTTTTTACTCTGTCCATTTTTGGGTACTTGAATGTCTACAGAATCGATATCGCTTGATGTTTCATTTTAAAAAAGACAAAATTCACTGTTACAGACATTTTCCGGAGGGCACCCTTCTCAAAAGTTGGCGTGTTTTCTTCAAATTAGCCCATAATTGGAACATGACAAGAACCATCATATGTGTCTCCATGTCACCATAATATGTTTAGTATCGTTGTGCTCCCAAGCTTTTCTTCTTTCAAGACAATACGATCAAGATGTAAGTATTTCTGACAGTTGAACACATGTAACGCAAGGCACACAGGGCTCCTCTTTTTATAAATTTTGGGTTGTCTTGGACAAAACGAAACCCCGCTGCTAAAAATAATAAATGACATCAACACTAAGTCATACAATCAAAGATCGTCAGTAGAGATCATGCTGCGCAGTGTTTGGTCTCCAACAGTACTTTAAGATCACCATTGTTTCTTCTTCCTGAGCCGTTTGGATTACTGCCACTGATGAAACTGTCTAATTCGCTTTTGTATTTGACAAGACATAATCCTGTTTCTGATCCCTCTTTTTTTTAAAGTAGGCTACAGAGCAGGTACATCTAAGCTAAGTTTTCATTTTTGAATGCGCATGTTTTGTATGATACCTTCAGTGCCGACTTCTGGCTTCGCAGATTGAGCCCAACAGTCTCACTGTAGGTCTGAAAGACAAGACAACGTTGTTGACTGAAACCTGCGCACACAGAATGCGTGGGTTACAGTAGGACTCATAGGCCCAAACAGGTTCATGGTTGAAGACTATATATGTTGAAGACTATATTTATATATGGTATACCAACAGAGGCAGTAGATTGCTATCTGAAGATTCTTGATCTGTGTTGAAGATCATTGCGAAGATATGAGGGACCTCAGGAGCGGAAACGACCATAGTTAAAAAAAGGGTGATTTTGTTGTTTCGTTCGTTGAATTTTACCATAATTTGATGTTTTGCAATTAGGTTCTTTGAGTTGCCTTATATTTGGTCATCAAGACTTCTGGATTAATTCTCTGGACTCTGGGTGTAAACAAATGGATCGTGGTCTTTAACAAACGGAACTACAAGATCGCCAAAGCAAGAAGGAGCACACTGCAGCTCCAGTCAGCGAGTGGAATCAGAGTCACTTCAACAGAAGTCACGGTATACCTTCCCCTTGCGCCGAGCCTCATACAATGCCAAACTGAACCTACTGTTGGACTTTAAGGCAGGGAGTGTGTCTCTAGTCTAGTGACTGCCGCCACATCAAGCACATTCTTTGACCGCCCAGTTCTAGGACTTCAGTCTAGATCTATATATTAGATCTGGATCTAGAATCTAGACTTGTAGTGTCTAGAGTCTAGAAGAGCGTGTAGATTCTAGACCTAACTTCGTCTCACTTGTCACAAGGATTTCAGAGATTTCACTTACCTGAAAGATAAAAAAAATAATCAGGATTATTCATCTGCAAATTAGAAGGCGACGTATGCATTAGATTCAATATCAGGACAGCGAGTAGGTCAAAAAACACGGTAGCCTAGTAGGGGTCATTGCTTCTGAAAGTGAAAGTCTCAAAAGTCAAGAGTTCCAGAGGAGAGAGAGAGAAGTATTGACACTTTATTATTGACCAATGTTTACATCGTTTCACTACTTCCGTTTTTGTAGCTTGTGGGGCTTAGGCAAAAATTTCGAAACAAATAATTTCTAGTTTACTAGAGACCACAGGATTCTACACTAAGTGTAGAATTCTGTGCTAGAGACCATAACATGGTGATTCTTTCATTCTAGGAAAAACAAAAAATACAAACATAAACATCAGCTGGAATCATATTTGTTTTTAAAAAGTTAGCATAAATCTGTGGCTCATTTACTTCCTCAAATTATTGACGAATAGTTTTTATTTTCGTCCACTAAAAACCCGTTTCTAAAGGAAAGGCAAAGGGAATTTCCGAAAATTCTTCTTTCCGTGGAAGCTTTTACTTTCGATCTTACCTTATTGCGCTAATAGTAGATCTATTACCGTCATAATGTAGGAAGTGTATACTCTATAAGAGTATACACTTCCTATATCTATGATTACCGTATTATAATAGTGCGTGTATTAGCAATACATAGTTTTAATCATAATAAGCAGTTTCGGATCCAACTTTCAGTTTCCGTCATAACTCGCCGGGGTTTCGTTGCGTACTTGTATACTTGATCTATATTTTTAGTTACATTTATTTGTTGACCTAACAGGCCTATGAAAGGAAGGCCTAAATTTTTAAAAACTATTTTTGTAAGTGTTTCACGGCGCTCGCAACTGCATACGGTCATATATATGAGCGCACGGGACACACCAAACATTTGGGAGCTCTCGTGGTCTAGGTGTTGGCCTCTCATTCAAAGATCCTGGGTTCGAATCCGGGTAGCGACAGAAAGATTTTCTTCACTAAAATTATCTCCTTTCTCTTGGTGGTCTAAAATCGATAAGAGAAGGCTTCGGCCGCCACCGGGGCAAAATTCAAAATTTCCTACCAAATGAAAAAGTTTAAAGTGTCCCACGCGCTCCTACATGTATGACCTTGTACACAGCACGAAAAGTCGCACACTCTCTACTGCCAAAAGCCAACACCGAAATGCACCCGTAACGGAGCCCACTGAATGGTGTTCCAGCATGGTAGTTGTGCCAAAGATAAACGGCTGTTAGAATCTACGTGGACCTCACCAGTCTAAACAAGGCAGTGCGATGAGAAGTCCATCCTCTGGCACCCATAGACGAACAGCTTGCCAAGCTTGCAGGGTCTACGGTACATGTATTCTCTGAGCTGGATACGACTAGCTGATTCTGGAAAATCCCTCTCGCTCCAGACTCCAGAAGGTACACTATCTTCATAACACCGTTTGGGAGATTCTGCTTTAACCGTTTTCCATTCGACATATCCTCAGCCCCAGAAATCTTCCAAAGGAAAACGTTACATTCTGGACGGCCTTCCAGGTGTCATTTGTCACATAGATGACATTCTCATACACGCGCTTGATCAGGACACTCACAATAAGCGTGTCAGACAAGTCCTGAAGCGTCTCCAGAGAACTAAGGATACAAGTGTGAATTTTCGCAGCCGTCCATCAAGTTTCTCGGGCACATCGTGAACAATTACCCAGGCCTCAAGTGAGATCCTGCAAAAGTGGACGCTGTTCGAAACTTCCCTCAGCCCAAGAACGTCCCTGGGTTACAAGGCTTTGTGGGTATAGTGAACCAGACAGCAAAATTACATCCCAACTTGGCTTCTGCAGCTGAACCTATGCGAGCATTGCTAAACAAAGACTCATTGTGGACCTGGAGAGAACATCAAGAGGCATCTTTTTCAAAGCACCAAAAATGGCCTCACCACAACACATATACTGGCACACTACTCGCCTGACCGGGAGACTATCGTTGCTACAGATGCTTCCATGTCTTCCCTCGGGGCAGTACTTCTACAAATACAAGATGGTGGTTCTTGCAGACCTGTTAGCATACAAGCAGTATACATTGGAGACTGATCACAAACCCTTGGTCCTTCTTCTCTCTACCAAGGAACTCCACAAAATGCCACCAAGGATTCAACGATTCCGTCTGAGGCTGATGCGCTTTTCACCAAATATGCTGCATGTTCCGGGAAAGCATCAGATCACAGCTGACGCACTTTGTCGTGCTCCGACAAATCTGCCTTCAGATGCAGAATCACTCTCTGTTGACGAAGTGGCTGACTTCGCACAACATGCTATTGACGGCCTCCCTGCTTCACCACAGAGACGTCAAAATATTGTCTCCCAGCAGAAGAGCGACCCAGAAACGTCGGAAGTCCAGAAATACTGTGCCAGAGGCTGGCCAGCATACATGCCTGAACATTTACTTATGAAACAGTACTGGACTAATCACCATCATTTCAGCATTGTGGGTGATATCCTTTTGTTTGACGACCGACTTGTCATTCCACGAAAATAGACACTCTGAATCGACTCCACGAAAGCCATCTTGGCATCACGAAGTGCCGAGCTCTAGCTCAAACTTGAGTCTGGTGGCCCAACATCACCAGTCAGATCGAGGACATGGTGAAGAAGAGCAACACTTGTGCAAAACTTCGTCCAGTCCAGAAGGAACCTCTACTCCCTTCCTCGTCACCAGACCGACCTTGGTCTCGATTGGCCATGGATCTGTTTGACCTGAAAGGTCAGACCTACATCGTCGTGGTCCACTATTACTCTTGTTGGGTAGAGCTACGCTTATTCGAAAAGCTCAACAGCGTACATGTATTCGTTATCAATAAACTCAAGTCCACCTTTGACACTCATGGCATCCCAGAGGCAGTCGTGTCCGACAATGGCTCTCAGTTTTCAAGCGGCAGTTTCCAAGCTTTTTCAAAAGCGTTTGGTTTCATTCACATCACCAGCTCTCCAAGATATCCCCAGAGCAATGGTGAGGCAGAAAGAGCAGCGTAAACAGTGAAGCTTTTCCTCAAGAAAGCCAACTATCAATACACTGCCCTCCTTCTATACCGGGCTACTCCTTTACAAAACGGGTATGCCCCAAGTGAGCTCCTCGTGGGAAGGAAACTCCAAACCAAAGTGTCCATTATGCAGGACAACTTACATCCAATTTCTGTTGATCTACTCTCTATTCGTCTAAGGGAGGAGAAGAGGAAAGAGATCATGCGTTTGCTATACAACAAGAGACACGGTGTCAAATCTCTTCTAGAACTTAATCCCGGTGATTCTGTCCATATTCGAGACCTAAGCCGACCGGGCATCGTTAACAACAGACGCCCCAATCCGCGCTCCTACACAGTGACAGCTGAAAAAGGGAGCACTGTCCGCCGCAACAGAAGTCATCTCGTGGCTACCCCAGAGCCGACTACAACTACTACAACACAAGAGCCCAGGGTCAACACGTACCGTCTTCGACACGGTAACCTGACAGTGCCTGACGACACTCTTATTTAAAATAGATGATCAACCATAATTTAGACAATAACTTCGGGGGGAGATGTGGTACCATGTACTTTACATAACACCTCTGTTATGACTGTTACGTAACGTATTGGGATTTAGACAGTACCTTTCTTTTATTCAGTACATGTAGTCACTTTTTGGTTATAAGGTACTAGAAGACAAAAATAAAACAAACAGCCCTTTCGAGCGTGCGTTTCTTCACTCTCTCCAAATCTGTTCGTACCCACAAACCGAACAATATTAAAGAGAGAGAGAGAGAGAGAGAGAGAGAGAGAGAGAGAGAGAGAGAGAGAGAGAGAGAGAGAGAGAGAGAGAGAGAGAGAGAGAGAGAGAGAGAGAAGGGGACTTGGGGGGGGGGGGGTGATAATCAACACAATACAGAAGGCTAAGTCATTCAGCACGAGCTTGGCATTCTCTCAGCTAACCGTTCCACTTTGAGCAAAGTTTGTTAATTCCGGTAATTCTTGTCTTACGGTATGATAGAAAATTGTCTAGATCTAGTCTTTCGGGGTCATTCAATTCAGTTTCATTACATCTGAGGTATTTTTTATTCAAGCAAAGTAGATTCCAGTTCATTTACTTCAATTCCAATAACCTTTCTGCAGGCCTACCATTATTCATTCTTAACGTTGCCAGGAAATATAGACAAAAAGCCGCCTACTGCGGTCTTGGGGTGATGAATAATATAAGCCTATGACTATGACATCCCAATTGGGGCATTAAAGAACCAACTACAAATGTAATTAGATTAATCTGCTGACGAAGGTGTTTAGTTTTCTTTGATCCTTGCTGCTGCCTCCATGAGGAGTTCGAACATTGGTCGTCAGCACCTCAAGTATCTCGACCTTTCTGCTGGGATGTTAAAAATCTCTCTTAGCCTGACAGGAATGGTCGGAAGACAGCCTCCTTAATGATCTAGATGGTGTCCATGGGGACGTAAAACGGGGTTGGTGGTCATATAAGCCTACATGGACGAACATCTAGATCAGAACTGGTTCCTTTTAAGCACAAGGGGGCTATCCTGAAAAATGTTGGTATTGTGCGAGACAGAGATCCAAGATAATTTGTTTAAAAAAACAACAATCAAGTAGCCGTTTTACGTCCCCATTCTAGATCATTTAGGAGGCAGGCTTTCCGGTGCCTTGCCTACTGGGGTGGGCGATCATGGACCTCCACTCCACTTCAATCTGTCTTGCGTTGCAGCAATGGTGTATCTTTCCCTCCTGTCTGCCTCAGTCTCTCTTTCCATCAAACTTGCCTGTTGTTACAATATTCTCCAATGCTTCTCTCCGCATTGTCTGTCCAATGAGTAAGGAGAAGCACACTGACACAATAACAGCCTTTTAATGCCTGGAAAGAGTCAGACGGGGGCTCTCGTGGCCTAGAGGTTAAGGTGTTCGCCTCTCCTTCAAAGGTTCAAGGTTCGAATCCGGGTAGCGACGGAAAAACTTTATTCTCTAAATTTATCTCCCTTCACCTCTCTTCCAGCTCTCTAGCAATGTTCTGTCGTCTGCTTTCGTCTCCACTTTCTTCTCCCACCCCTTCACCTCCTTTGCCCCCTACTCTGGGCTCCGGATCTTTCTGCAGCCTTTCTACTGCTACTCCTTGGCTCCTTCTTACTGCTGTCTTTCAGCCACACCCCTGAACTTCTGGTAGGAAAGATCTACACCTAGCCTTCTGGGACAAGGGCGAAAAATCTCGGAGGTCTTGCACATGTTAAAGATCCCTTGGTGGTCTAAAATCGATATATAAAATAAGAGTAGGCTTCAGCCGCCACCCGGGCGAAATTCAAAATTTTCTACCAACTGAAAATATTTGGTGTGCCCCGCGCGCTCATAATGACCTTTTGCAGTTGCGAGCGCCGTCAAACACTTAGATCTACCACACACATAAAAAGAGTTAGACAAACTGAAACAACAAAGGAAAGAAAAGTAGGACACCAGAGCACCCACCAACCACCAATTTCCATGAACTTCTCAGTTCAGAGTCAAGTATTTGGAACTCACAGCACACTTTGTTTATTTGATTTGAATAAAGAGAAGTACTCTGAAACAGAGATGATTTAATACTTGGAAGAGGACAGACAGACAGAAACAACAAAGGAAAGAAAAGAAGTAGGACCGACCAGTAGCACCCTCCAACCACCTACCAAGTGTTTGGAACTCACAGTACCACAGCACACTTTACCGCAGCAAATGTGTCTTAGCGCTTTACGGCACTTGCAACCCGATTAGGTCAAATAAGTACTGAAGATTAGATGTGTTTGAGAGTAACAAACAGAAAAAAAGGAAGATGGATAATGACGATATATCTTTTTATGGGAAAGGAGCAAACCACACCCGTCAACCACCCACCAAGTATTAAAAATGACTCAAAACAAGAAAATGAATACACATAACAAAAAAACAGGAACAAGACAAGTCCAGGTAGACATAATACGCAATATATTCAGTTTATTGACTCAGAATGCCCAGCAAAATAAACAGGTTCTGCAACAACTTGGAGGAAGAACAATTTGCATTGATAAGATAAACAAGCGTCTCAAGACTAGTGCTTGGTTCTAACAAAAAGCCTTGTTAAAAAAAAAACCCAATGAAGTACAGAGTCAACACTCAGCTATGCGTAGGCTTAAAGAGGTCTATTATAACTATACAACAAGGAGAAAAAGTAATCTAGCCATTATAAAGCACCCATCAGTTTTATCAACCTGGGCTCAAGTGCTAAAAGTAAATCATAAAGTTTCTAATACTAAACCTAAATTGAAATTGCAAATATTTCACTTTTCACACCCCTATCGACACAATTTAGATCATTTAGGCGACAGGCTGCTAAGACCGTAATTGTCAGGACCAAGGCGGGTTGGTTAGGACACAACATCCCAGTAGACTGTCAGAGATACAAAATGTACCTGACAAAAACTTGCCGACTGGAAAACCAAATGAGTTGATCACGACGTGGTGGAATCAGGCGCTCGTCAATTTTGGGGCATATATATGGCGTTATTGATATCATCTTAAAGCCTCTTCGTTTGTCTTCCTTTTGGTGAAAAAAATATCCATTTATATCGAATAGAAGTCGAAATATTTGCAATTGAAGGAGGTCAGGGCCGCCCGGTTTCAGAGGTAAAATTAGCAAGAAAATGGCAGTCAAAGTTTGTTAACTTCCATAGCCTAAGAGTCCTTGGAAACTGGAAGTTTACATTTTTTGAGCCTTTAATCAATGGTTATCAGTAAAATCCACATAGAAATGTGATTTTAAATGGACATAAAAGGTGTTGAGGCAAAAAAATAAAATTAGAAAAACCGTGCCCATCGGCCCAAAAAAATGCTGATTTCTTGGATTTCACCATTAAATTTTGATGAGCACCTGATTTCACTGCGATGCCTCACAAATTGACATTTTCGGTGCATTGTGCAACAACGGCAAAGATCCTAACCGTACTTCCACAGAAGCAAGTATATGACATGTAATACAAAGTTTTTGTGTTTAAAAAATACAAAACACAGGAAGAACTGACACCAGATCCATAAATAGGATATGAGTTGAAAAAAGCCATTTTGTGCCTGGTAAGTAATGCTCAGTAAAACAACATCGTCATCTCCCAAGCAAAATGAGAAATGGGAAAACAATTGTGATTTTTTAAAAAAACAACATGAAAAGAGGAAAGAAAATTACACATAATCCATCATAAGTTAATGACGTTTTCTGGCAGCAAATTAAGCACAGAACACATGATGGATATTGGGCACAATGCAAGACTGCCACATCTAGAAAGGGATACACCCAGTATTTGGAGAAAAACTGTTTTGAAATTTTGGAAAAAGCTCAATTTTAGAGGATGTGAAAATTGAGAAGAATCTATCCATCTATGCTAACGTTTTCCACCAGTTTTGAGTTTGAATATTAAGAGCAGCACATTGACACAATGATGGTCATTTAGTAGTGCAGGAAAAGTTTGTTTGTTTCTATTCATAGAAGCACATAAACTCAACACAAAAATGGTCATTTAGTGCTGGGAAAAGGTTATACAGAGAGAAAAAATAAAGACAAAGAAAAGAAGTAAAATCTACCAGTGGAAACTTTAAAAAAATAGAGAAAGTTGTTGGTTTATTTAAGTAAAGAGAAGCAAACCGACAAATATGGTCATATAGTGTACAAAAAAACCCAGAGAGACAAACAGAAACAATAGAAGGAAAGAAAAGAAATAGGACCTACAAATGGCACTCCCTGAAACTATTCATGAGTCATCAAAAAGCAGTCAGGAGAGGAACATCCTTTATTAAAAGAACTCACACAAAAAAAAACTGTTCTCACTACAGAAAAAAAATCCCCATCAAAACTTGGAGAAACAGAACAGAGGGGTGTAACTACAGAAACTAGTTTAAAAGGAAAACGAGATAAGCTGATACAATTCAATACCAAAAGAAAAAAAGTAAAATCATCCAAATAATGAGGTAATACTGATGACCAAAAAAAAAAGAAGAAAAGATGTAGAAGATGTCACAGAGTGAGTTCACTGTGATGGCAGTCTCAATCAAAAAGTAAACCAAAAAAAGGAAAGAAACTGATGACTTCAAAGACGATTTATATATATATATTATGTAATAATCACAATTCAAAATATATTTGGGAACATGACCTAAACAGGATCAGTAAAATATATTTCCCTGAAATCAACAGTGTTTCCAAACACAAAGTTAGGCGCTGTGTGATCAGGATTATAACGTACATTTATAATTTATATTTTAATGAGCCACTTGTGATCAAGAACGGTAGAGAAAACAGAGAAGCTTACTTACTGTAACAACAAGAAGAATGAGATGTGTCCGACAAGGTCAGATGGGGGAAAAAGGAGGGGGAGGGAAGG